TCCCCACCAAAGCACAAAGTTAAATATACGCAAAATAAGTAGGATTTGTTAACAGTGACAAGTAGAAAAATATACGGAGGGGGATTAGGATTTCTATGAAGCCATCTTCAATATAATACATGGAGTATGAGTGCAAGATTACAGGCTTTACAACAATAAAGCCGTATAAGGGGTTTATTTGGGGATTATTTTGTATAAAGCAGAGATAAATGCTCAATATGCTATATACACAGCTGCAGGATGTGGAAGTAAGTTACCAATATTAGATACTATGCCCCTGCTTCAAAAGTAATAAAGTAATAAAGTAACAAAGTAACTCTATAGAGAGGAAATAGTCTTCAACTTAAAGAAATGCTATACAGGAATACACTATAGGTCTAAAGCAAGCATGTCAAACTCAAAGTGTTGTACGGGCCACATAAACAAGGTTTACGTTTATATGGGCCGCACACACACACACACACACACACACACACACACATACTCACTGACAGACACACACACATACTAACTGACAGACAGATACACACATACACACTGACAGACAGATACACACATACACACTGACAGACACACACACATACACACTGACAGACACACACACACATACTCACTGACAGACACACACATACTCACTGACAGACACACACATACTCACAGACAGACACACCTACTCACAGACAGACACAGACACACTGACAGACACAGACACACTGACAGACACGCACACACACATACTGACAGACACACATACTTGCTGAAAGACACACCCACTCACGGACAGACACACACACTCACTGACAGACACACACACACATACAGACACACTGACACACACTGACAGACACACACATATACTCACAGACAGACACACACATACTCACTGACAGACACACACATACTCACTGACAGACACACACACACTCACTGACAGACACACACACACTCACTGACAGACACACACACACACTCACTGACAGACACACCTACTCACTGACAGACACACCTACTCACTGACAAACACACACGTACTTGCTGACAGACACATACACACACACACACTGACACAGACACACACACGCTGACAAAGACACACACACATACTTTTCATTATTGCTCCTTACCTTATGGAGCCGATGGGTGGCATCTCCCTGGGGTCCTTCCTGCTCCTCACCGCTCCCGCGCGCGGTTTAGTGATGCCGTGTGCCGGAATATGACGTCATATTCCGGCGCCCGGCTTCACTTCAGTCGGTGCGCTCGAGGGAGCAGTGAGGAGCAGGAACACTGAGCTCCCTCGCTGGCCCTCCTCCCTGGCCGGGTAAATGTTAGCAGAGTAGGCACCTGCAATATGGGGAAAGCAGGTGCCTTCTCTGCTATAACACTGAGCATGTACTTGCGGCTCACCGGGTTTGACATGCTTGGTCTAAAGGCACAGTTTAAGTCCCCAGCCTCCCTTGTTCCCTGATAAAAAGGTGATTTACTTACCCTATTTCCAGCTCCGCAATGGTCTTCTGGCAGCTGGGCCCGCCCCTGCTCCTCCTCTTGGGTGAGATGATCAAATGTGTATTCCAAGATCTTAGGGTACATTAACCCCTTAAGGACACATGACATGTGTGACATGTCATGATTCCCTTTTATTCCATTAGTTTGGTCCTTAAGGGGTTAATCATATTAACGCAGTGGGTGATCACTCATTCAAGCAAAGAAAGTGGATTTTAAAAAATACATATCGAAAAACCAAACGAGAGCACACTTTAGGTGCTAAATGCAAGTACTTAATTAGGCAGTTGATGCAATTGCAAATGTTAAATAAGAATTATATGTAATGTCCAAAAAAAAAAAAAACAATTTAGTTAAATGAACGATGTGCATTAGAAACCTTCATTAAGTCTGGTTAGGTAGAAGATCTAGCTTATATATCCGTTGGCATTCTCGTCTCAAAATCTTGTCATACTCACCCTTTGCCTGGTTTCTCTTGACAAGTTTCAGTCCACAAAATTTCAGGCCTTTTGCACAACGTGAATGTCATGATAGGCCTTAAGATTCCTGGAGATAGGTGTATCAATAGAGTTTTTGATAGGTCTAACTTGTTCTTTAATGTGCTCTTTAAAGGGGCAAAAGGCCATAACCACATAGTTACTGTTGCACTCACAAGGTTAGTAGGTGGACCAACCCAGCTGTATTACAATTAAAGAATATCTCAAGTTAAAAAATGTCTTTATTTTCACTGTCATAAACCAATTTCAAATCTCTTTTTATGTATTTACACACAATGCACCTTCCACATTTAAATGTAACAACAAAGGAATTATGTGGCCAATTAATCTTGATATTCTTGGCTATTTTCAAAGTGACTGGGCACAAGAATATTCCATTGATTTCCACCCCTTCATGCTGTAATGCTGGCATGTGGACATCTTTGAGGTTTGTATCATTGGTAAGCAAGGACCAGAAGTGGTGTACAGTTTCCTACATCCAATTGTTCTGATCGGTTGTTTAAAGTTAACATTGAGTAATATAGCTTGCAAAAGGTGTGTCCTGTCAATCTCAAGAGCATTTTTACAGGCTTTTTTAAAACACGTATTTGGATAACCCTTCTCTAAAAACTTAGTGCAAGGTCGCAGCTTTAACCTTAAAATCTTCGATGTTACTACAGTTCCTACAGATTCTAAGATATTGATTCCACGTTTGAGGGACTCTGGGTTGTAACTGTTCCAACATAACAAACTGTTAGAGGCTTTAGTTTTTTGAAGAGTGGGTGGTCAGAGATCCCTGGTCACCAATCAAAATAGTGAGAAAATAGTGAGAAATTTAAATCTAAGAAATTCAAAGAAGAGCCCCCAAAATCAGACATAAAACGTAGATTCTGTTCATTCATATTCAATTCTTTCACAAAAGTACTAAATTCTTCTGGAGTGCCCAACCACACTATCCAGATATCTTTTGGTGTAATGAAGCCATAAAAACATGTGTGAAAGAAACTAAGTCATATCCAAAGAATTAACAACCACCTCCTCCTACCAACCCAAATGAAGGATATCATAGGATGGGGCACAAGATGTCCTCTCTTAATGGTGGACCTTGGGAGCTTTGTGTGCTTGCTTTGGCAACACAGAGCAGCACCAGAACACGGGTGAGGTTATGATGTCACAACTGGAATGTGGGGAATGCATATGAGAGGATTTGTGTAAGATGCAGAAGGGGATATGAGGAAGAAGCACAGGAAAAGTGTAGGAATGCATAGGTTGTAAGAAATACACTGTGGAGGATTTGGGGGAAATGCACAGAGGAATATGGGGAAGATGCACAGTGGAGACATGGGGAAGATAAACATGAATGTTAGGGGATGGCACAGAGAAGGGATTTGAGGGTGAGAATGAGGCCTGAGGCATAAGGGATATGCACAAGGAAGAAGTGGAATTTTATTTGGGCATATTGGATTTTATTGTACTCTGTCTGCCCCTTTAAATTACATTGGAGCAGTGTGCAGCTTTAAATTGTGAAGAAAACCCCTATTTTATTCCCTCCCCTCTCCACTCCGAGAACACCAGTTAAACCCTTATAACTGTCAAATATTCAAACTCTGTCTGACCTTATAACTGTCATATATTCAAACACTGACCGAACTTAACTGTCATTTTGTTTTCCTCTGAGGAGGAGTTGTTTTGCTGCATGAGTGCTGTTGCTTTGTGTGCTCATTAAACAGACCTGCTTGACCCTTTCTTGAAGCCTTGGCTCATGCTTGGGGGATGGGATAAGTCTGCAGTGCTGATGGTGTTGATTGGAGTGCTTGGAGTCCTCGGCAAGCATTAGGAGCATCGATTGGCGGAGGTACTCAGTCTGGCATCGCCCTGGGAACTTTATAAAGTCTTTGATCCTGGTGTATGTGTTCAGTTCCTGTGTTCTAGTCTCTTAAACGTAATCTCCATATTGACCCCGGCTTCTGTCTTCATTTATTTTGACCTCTGTCATCCTTTGACGTTGGCTATCCCTCGACTATCCTGCTGTTTGTGTCCTTGTCGTTACTGCATTGGAATCACCTTTCCTGCGCAGCCCCTGTGCACAGATTCACAGTCCAGGTGGCTTTTTACCTGGTCACCTTGGACTGTGTCTATCTGCAAAGGTGAGCAAACATATCTGCTCTACAAACTCCAACCTCAGGTAAGAACCCTGACACCTGTGAGATTAATACTCAATGCATATGGTGGTCACGCTGGACCCTTTCAATACATCCAAACCTAGGATGTCATCCCTGAAAGGGCCACTGAGCAAGATTCTCATGACAGCTTTACATCTCATAATATAATTTAACCAAACCCGTGGAGGAAGGTAAGGAAAGGTAAGGGGGAAAGAAGAGTATTGGGGTGGGAACAGAAGGGGTTGGTACAGTCATCTTATCAGAAGCTCCAAAATAGAGCTCCTCCATTGTGCATAACATTTCCAATTGTGTAAGCCAGACTCTGAGTGGTAGACATATGGGTTGTTTCCAAAACTGGGGCAAAATCTGCTTAGCTATATTCAGGGTATGACCACTTTATAAGGTCTCTTTGAAAGGTAATTCGCATTGGGACAAAAATAATTGTCATTACAAAACAACAACAACAACACCTGCAACAAAGTGTAATAATCACACAGAGTAGGGGCGAACCCTTCAGACTGAATATAATTATACAATAAGCAATATTTTTTTTTATTTTTTTTTTCTCGGAGCATTCTTTATTTTTGGTAATGCAGGAGTATACAGGGTAACCCGCAATGCCACGACAGCAATTGCCGGCATACGTCAAATACACAACAGAATAGTGAACATGACAACAGTAGTAGTTACCAATAACGTTACGTTTCTACTTGAGTAAACAGCACAGCATTTTGTGATAAAGGTTTAGTAGCTAAAATGCACAATTTCAATTGTAGAAATAGTAAAAAATAAAAAAAATAAAAATTCAGGAAAAATAATTAAAAAAAAGGGAAGTAGTCAGCAGAGAGACAAAGTGACATAAGATAAGATTTTGGTTGCACTAACTGACTATACGAGGTTATGCAATAGTGGTTAAGTTACATGCTATGCAAGATGCAGTTTGATCAGTGGAAATAATAGATTTTGAGTTACACGCTAGGCAAACAAGTGAGAGTTAATTTTTATTTTAATGGTCCCGCTCCCTACCGAGGTATGGAGCCCTGTTTTGGCTAGGTAGTAGGCCCAAGGTTAATACAGGGTGGGGGCCCGTGAGTATGACAACTGTGGTGCAGGATAGTTTTAGAACAGAGGATCCTTGAGGATCAGATAACTAGATCGGGTAACTTGGTATGGTGTCTCAAGATTTTGAGTGAGGCAGCTCCGCCAACTGTTATGTATGTGGGTCAAAAAGATTGGAGCTGGGGGGCGGGTGGAGGGGGGAGGGTAGGATGGACGTGATCAGGGGAGATAATTGGGTCTCAATTCGCCCAGTTTTTAGCTTAACCCTTGCAGATAAATTTAATTGCTCAAAGTACATGATAAAACAAATTGCCAAATTTGATGCTTATCTGGAGCGGTGTCCCCTGAGACTGATCCTAGGACCCTACTTGTATTACAAAATAAACTATTAGAGACATCTTAAGGCTGTGCTGATATCAGGTAACGTAAGCTAGGAATAGCGTTAACATTAGTAAGGTTACTAGTCGTTTGGCCTATAGCATTGAGACAATGTGAGAGTAATTAAAAGGAGACAGCAAATCCGCATATATTTACAGACTGAGAGGTCTTGTTACAGCACTGGAAACTTTCCCCCGTACTCGGGTGGAGCTCACGGGATCTCAGTCCGCAGTCAGCCTACACCTGCTCTGTGGGACCTATGGGGTTGCGTGTAGGCCGCTGGCTTTGTGTAAGAGATCCTCCGGTCCGAGGTTCCCGATATTGGGCCCACAGTTCCATGACAGCGAGGTTCGGTGAGTGGTGTGCGGGCCAGTGTCACTCTGGGGGATGCCCGTTGGTATGTCTGTGGAGGAGTTTGGGCCCTATTTACTGGAGGGCATCGTGCCGTCCACGGCTGCTTGAGGGGCTTGTGGCTCGGGTCGTGAGGTGCGCCTTTTTCTGCCCCTTTTGTAAGTGGGAGTCTCCTGTGTTTCTCCAGATTGTCTCTCCGGTTTAGGTGGTCGTTTGGGTGTTCTTGCCGATTGTTGTGTCCAGCTTAGCACTGGCTTGCGCAGTCTTTGTGCCGTATGTCCTCGGCCTGAGGCCTTCACGAGGACTCGCGCCTTCTTGCCGCAGATCCCGATTTGGGGGTCCTGGTCCCAGGGATGTTCCGGTGTTCGGTTTCTACCCTGGGTGTGTGGCTGGCGGAGGAGGGGTACCTCCAGGTGAGTACCCGGCCCAGAAGAGGTCAGTGCGGTTGAGGCCGCGGCGTGGGCCATGTGTGTGGCTGGGTTTGTCGGCTCGCTAGAGCTGTTTTTTTGGGAATGCTGCTGGCTGGAGCTTTAAAGTCTGAGTTGTGGGTGGCTGCGTCTGCTGAGCACAGGCTTCAATCCGGTGCCAGAACGCTGCGCACACCCTGTCGAATTTGGCATTGAAGTTGGTCTTCCAGTCTGTTGCAGTGCATTTCTCCGTCATGGTGGCCATTTTGGTTGCGGCTCCGGTATGGGGAGACGTTATTTACTGTTAAGGTGTACTTAGCTGCCTGTCTGCTAGCTGGTACCGGGATGACCCCCACCGGTCCAAAGGGGGGGGGAACAGGTCTGCTGTGGTAGTCTGGTAGCCCCAAGTTGGAGGATCGGCCGCTTCCTTCCCTCGTGGGATCTGCCAGGTAAGTAGGCCGCAGAGTCTGGTTCTGGCTTTAGGGTGCGGGATGAGTCTCCAGTTTCGCTTGAGAAGGTTCCCGGTCGGTAGTTTATAGTGCGTAATCTCTTTGGTTTTGATTTTAGGGGTTATACCTCTATTTAAACCATGTGTGCCTCGTTTTGAGGAGCTCATCTCACACACGTCTGTCGGCCATGCTGGTTAGGCCCCGCCCCCGCAATATTTATGTATATATGTGAATGGCAAGGAAATCTTCACAATGTCTGTAAAACAATAATACAAAACATCGCGTGTACTGTATAAGTAAAATAGATAAAAAGTAATAAGTAAAACCACTCACAAATTACAGAGCCATGCCAGGCTCTGTATAAAAAGCCCAAGGGTGCCTATCCAGACTATAATTGAATCTCCATAGACCACTGGCATGCAGATGGACCACGGAACAGCAGATGGAAAAGCAGCAAAAGATGAGGTATCAAAAATGTATTAAAAGTAAATTTAAAAAAAAATTGAATAAAATCAATATAATGAAACCTTCTAAGTAAGAAGGAGCAGAAACAGACGCATTTCGACTTTGAAGTCTTTCTCAATGTCTCTGCCGATGTAGTGATAAAGTGCTGCTTAAATATCTTCTACATTAAGGTAATATTCTTCACCTGCTGGTGTTTCGATCCGGCGTGTGATGTCACTTCCGGTCAGCAAGTTTAGCACGTCACTTCCGGTCTGCCGAATTGGACAACATATCCTCCTATACGGCGGACAGCTTGTATTCATATAATATAGTTGCCATTTTTATTAATGGCAAAATGCCCTTTCGATGGACAAAATATATCGGCAAAATATCATCATATATACAGGGGGGTATATTAGATTGAACAAGGGGAAGTATATTCATATAAACACTGTAGCACATGAGGACCGGGATACGGTATGTTTGGATGTTGAAATAATTGTATTCATTTTGATTTAGAACTTCAATGGATTTACCATAGTCTAAAAGTTTTATTAATTAATTTTTTTATTTCTACGGTTGGATCGCTTTTCAATTTACAATAGGTGGAGGTGTCATTCAATTGCCTATAAACTTTGTTCACGTAATCTTTAGTGTTAAGAATGACGATACCCCCACCCTTGTCTGCCGGTTTGCTGATAATATTTTTGTCATTTTGTGAATCACGTAAGGCCTTATTTTGCAAAAAATTAAAGTTAGATTTTTTAAAGGGTCTGGTGGTCATACCCACGTATTGTAGACGGTAGACCACATGGGCACCAGAGGAGATACACCACATTGGAGGAATGACAGGTAAGTACTGATTTGATGTTATATTGTTTACTAGTGGTTTTTGATGTAAAAAAAAAATCTTGTTTATTCTTGGGAAACTTTGCCTTCTTACATGCACCACACATTTTGCATGGATAGAAACCTGGTTGTTGGACAAAATGATTCACATTGGATGAAGGATTAATATAACTCTTAACCAGGATATTTCATAGATTCTTTGTGCCTCAATACACTATTTTGGGTTTATCTTTAATTAAATCTATCAGATCTTCATCTGTAGCTAGTACGTGCCAGTGTTTATTTACGATAGTTCTGATTTTATTTGCTTCATTACTATAATTTAAAATTAATAAGGGTTCTTCTTCCCTATTTTCCATGGCCTTCCAGGGTTTGTATTCTAAGACTGTATGTCTGGGGATCTGTTTGATTTCTTTAATTTGCTGATCCAAAAAGGAGGGATCATAGTTCTTTTCAAGAAAAAAGGACTTTAATTTCTCAGTTTGGATATCAACTTGGCCCAATTTACTACAATTTTTTAAAACTCTAAGGAATTGTCCCTTTGGCAAATTCCGAAGCCAGGGATCATAGTGACAACTAGTGGTGTCAATATAACTATTAACATCCACTGGCTTGAAGTGGGTCCTAGTTTGTAAAGTATGTTGCTCTACATAAATATCAAGGTCCAGAAACTGCACACTGTCTTGGCTAATTTGACTTGTTAGAACGATCCCTCTGTCATTGCTGTTTAATAATTCCAAAAAAGAATTAAGGGAGATCAAATCACCCTTACAAATAAAGAAAATGTCGTCGATATACCTGCGATAGAGGACCAAGTTCGCACCTCAGACCCCCGAAACTGAGAGGAAAGATTCCTCCCAGTGGGACATGAAGAGGTTAGCATAGCTTGGTGCGAACTTGGTCCCCATCGCAGTACGGACTAACTGTAAGAAAAAGTTATTTTCTAATATAAGTCGAATCCCATCCAAAATAAATTTTATCTGCTCACTACATTGCCCATCATTATTTTCCAAAAAATGCTCAATTGCCCGACATCCCAAATCATGGGATATAATCATATATAAGCTTGAAATATCGCACGTGACTAAATAATAGTCAACATGCCATTGCAATGTGTTTAAGATGTTAAGCAGCTGAGTAGAATCCTTAAGGTATGTAGGCTGTGTGATGACAAGAGGTTGAAGTTGCTTGTCAATATACTCTAAAAGTCTACTTAACAAGGATCCCACCCCCGATACTATAGGCCTACCCAGTGGATTTTTCGGATCCTTGTGGACTTTAGGCAGAATACATAGGACCGGGATACGGTATGTTTGGATGTTGAAATAATTGTATTCATTTTGATTTAGAACTTCAATGGATTTACCATAGTCTAAAAGTTTTATTAATTTATTTTTTATTTCTACGGTTGGATCGCTTTTCAATTTACAATAGGTGGAGGTGTCATTCAATTGCCTATAAACTTTGTTCACGTTCAATCTTTAGTGTTAAGAATGACGATACCCCCACCCTTGTCTGCCGGTTTGCTGATAATATTTTTGTCATTTTGTAAATCACGTAAGGCCTTATTTTGCAAAAAAATTAAAGTTAGATTTTTTAATTTTAGGTAATTTTTTTATGTCCTTTATAACCAATGATTCAAAAACCTTCATAGCATAAGGTGGCGTGGAAATTGTCATTAGCCAAAGTCCTAGATATCTTATCCTGTAGTTGGACCACTGGAATGAAAGGCTCTGGCGGAGTGGAAGAGCATGCCTCCCTGGCAGATCGACATTATGAATACTATATTTAGTATAGTTTATCATTAAAGGGACAGTGTAGGCACCTGTAGGTTATATAATGTCATCTAAATTAAGTTGTCATGGTGCCAACTCAAGTCTCCCTTGAGTGGCGGGCCCGGACACAGCTGTGACCCCTGCAAACGTGGTAGTTCCACCACTGGTCTCAGTCTGTATAGGAGAGAGGTGATAGTGATTGTGACTATATGACCATGTGAAGCATATCTCCATAGACACCAGGTTGGATAAATGGTAGTGTATAAAATTTATGGGTGTGAGAAGAAAGTGTAGTCTTGGTCACCCATGTGTACTGTTCTCTAGCAAACAAAGTAGTAGGGTTCGTATAGTGTGCAAATGTTGTATAGTGATCGTCAAGGTGCCGCAAAGGAGTCCTAATGGGGCTTGGGAAGAAATCTCCAACTTATTTAGTTTATTTTACTTTGCTTCATTTGGTAGATGTAATTACCGAACACTGACCACCCCCATAGCTCATTAATTTTAAAGAGAACAGTCGTTTAAGCACTCTCCCTGTGTGGCCGCCGTTCGTATAGTCGAACGCCACGTGTATGAGAAAACGGCGGCCATCTTTTATGGAAATATTGTATGTTTTAGGGTACATTTCATGTTTTGGGGAAATTGTGCATTTTCTGCTTGGAGATAATTAAGTTATAATTATTTTGACCTAATTATCTCCAGGCAGAGAGGAGGAGAGTATATGTTTGTATTGGGAGTGTCACAGTTTTAACCTGTATTACTATTGGCTGTATGATTTATGTTCCTGTGCCCCACAAGGTCCACGTGGGAGGTTCCCTTGCATGGGGACTTGCATAAAAGCCAGTGTGGCACCCATTAAAATTCAGTTCTGTTACACCCTTCATCTAGATTTCGGCTGATGTTTGGGTATCTGTCTGCTTTACTGGGAGAAACTTCTTGGGAAGCTGTTTATTTGTATGGAGAATTGCCTACTTTATTTCCCGAACGGCGAGTTATAATCACTCATGCTCTGGCCGTGGGAGGAAACTGATGAGCGGGTATAGGAGATACCAGCATTCGTTACAGGGCTCTAGTGTCTAACTGAATACACCCCCAATTCATTGATTGATTCAATGCTTCTCTATGAGGAGATGCTGATTGGCCATGTTTCTGTTTGGCTTGTGCTGGCACTGACCCTGACCTGCCTCCTTGACAAGCTCAGCCAATCCAATTTGAAAGCATTGTGAATGTCTAAGAACACAACTTTTGATGATGTCAGCCAAGCAGGCAGATCTGGGGCAAAGGCAGCAGCAGCAGACTGCAATAAAGGTAAGATTTTGCTATATTTATGGGAGCAAGGGGGTGACTAGATGGTGTTTTAACACTATAGGATCAGGAATACATAGTGACGGCCCTTCGCGGTATGAGTCTCCCCAGCTCTCATCCTCTCCTAAAAGACTATATTCACTGGATCCTGATATTCCATCCCATGTCTCCCGAGCCAAGCAGACTTCTTCACGGCATCAGAGGCAGCCTATACCGTCCAGGAACCCGGTGAGACGTGGTATGCACGACCGGTAGTAGCTCTGAAATCTCATGGAACTCTATAGCGGATCGCGGAGTCGTCATGGTCCACTGAAACTTCAATCAGAACACTCTCAGTCCCTGAACCAGCAAACAGAGTGTATTTTGGAGGGCTAATAGAGCAGGTGAAGAGGCATCTAACAACACCAAGACTTTGGGGGAGCTCCAGATACTCACGGAAAGCGCCATGGTTTTAGGTGTCCGGGAATGTCTATTCAGCACTCTGGAGCTCTGTGTTGGATCGGAGACTAGTCGCAATTTTTGTACTTCTGTATAATTCGGGCTAGACCTATCCAATCAGGGCACTTTTTGGACAGATTGGGGGCTCTAGAGAACCCTTTTTGGGGATGTATGGCATGTGGGGGTGCTTTGCTGCATTATGTATATTTTCTAGGGTTTTGTATGTTCGGATTTCTGTGTCCATGAGATAATTACCTGAGAGCTGGCTCAATTACCTCCCAGACACACAGATGCCTGGGCAGGTTTATGTTGAATACAATGGAGACCCAATGATGGTGGTCTGTGTTGTAAGACATTTTGTGATATGATGAAATTAAATGTATACTATAAAGTCACTACTTAGCAGATGTGACTCCATTTGTAACAGAATGTACAAACCCAGACACATTTGTTTCTTTCTCACTCCAATCACTGCTGACCAAACTCTGGACTGCATGCTAGTCATGCAAGAAACCTAAGTGTTTGGAATAAGGGAGTTTGAGAGCCCAGCCAACGCACTCACATATATCATATGTGTGTGGGCTCTCAAACTCCCTTGTTCCAATATATATACATATGTTGAATATAATGTAGAAAGTAGATGGCTGCACTCACGGTCTTTCAAATAAAAATTAACTTTTATTATGCCATTTAAAAATCAGGATCAACGTTTCAGTCCTCTCCATTGACTTTCATCAGGATCGTTGATCCTGATTTTTAGCCCTCCAAAATGTTTTAGCCCTCCAAAACGTTGATCCTGATCCTGATAAATATAAACACACTAACTATATAATTATGCTTAATTTTATATAAATAGTACCATGTTAATAATATTCAAATATATTCATAGATAAAACTAATGAATAAATTTAATTATTAAAATAATAGCTGAATGTGTGTATAAGACATGTATATAGCACATGTAGTGACATATTACTAATACAGACACATTAACTTCATACAATAAGACAGTGTAACTGAGAAAAAAACAGACAAAGAGTAGAATCAAAAATAAATATTTTTAAGTCATTTTTACTTCTCAAATTCAATGGGATCTTTACAAAAAAAAACATTGTAAGAGTAAGTTGAACCAAAGTCCAAATGCGTCAGAGATACATTATGGCACAAAAAGGAGACAGCTAGTCTAACAAAATCTAACAGATAGGAAGGCTGACACATGTCTCTTTTCAGCCTATGTGTTAAGCCCACCACTATGTCACAGTACCCCAATATTGGTGGGTCCTACACTAATTTTAACATGGGAGATTTACATGCTTACTTGCAATACTTACTTGCAGTATAAACTGCTTCAAAATACTCCTCAATTTAAGCATATGGCCATATGATGGAATTGAATCCCCATATTTATTTGCTAAGATTTTAAGTAGCTTTGTTAAATGTAAAGCTGTATTTTTGTTTGTGTATACACTGTTCGTTTAACTGTATTTCACCCACTTATTTCAGGACACCAAGGTCAGAGGGGGTAGTGGTGGAAACCAGGATCTCCCAAGTGAGTCGTGACAAAGGAACACTGACCCATTTCAGACCAGTCAAACAATGGCCAATCAAGGGACTCCCAGAGCTTGCCTCAGTCATAACATCCCACGTCCCTGACACTAGCTCTACGTACATGCAAAATAAAAATATAGAAATACAAATCTATTTTGCTTAATAATCCTATGATGCTCAAGTGGATGAACCAAAAGTAATGGGATAAGATCATATTTATTTCAGGCTTTTTAGGTTTCACCTAACTATCTATTGTGGCCAATTGTATGTGTCCCAGGCCACATCTTTTAGTCCCATAAACTCAGTTTTTGTGCATCATGGCACACTTGTGTAGAACCCGTGTGAATGGGGGGTGCTTTTATAAAAATAAATCTTTTTATTTGTAATTCTGTAGTTGGGAATCATTCTGTACAATCAAACTCTGTCTGCATATTGCATTAGTGACTAGTGATGGATTATGCAATCTCCAGATATGCGTACAATTAAATGTATTCCCTTAATCTAAGTTTAGACAACTGTAACATAAATGAACAGAGAAGAGATTGGGAGCACCCCCGAGAGATGCATTATGCGAGAAAGGTGCTGCCACAGTGACCAAAATTCATACAGAAAAAAATAGTTACAGTGCACTCAGACTTCTAAAAATACATAACTAAGAAGGCTACTATAAAACGCCTATCTAAGAGAATAACTATGGGGATTTAGTTCCACCATATGACCATATGATGTTAAGCCCACCACTGCTTCAAAGTACCCCAATGTTAGTGGGTCCTACGCTAACTACAAAATGTGAGAGACAAATTAAATAGTACTGGTGCTAAAAACAAGCTACAGTGTATTAAATTAATGTCTTTGTAAGAGCAAAATGAGTATACAAAAATAAAGAGTGATAAAAGCAATTAAAAACAGTGTAACAACTAAACAAAGTGTTGGTGCTTGAATGAGTATACTCACATTTGCAGATAATATCTGTGCTGCATGAAGAATATAATAAAAGTGACATGACTATAAAACTCCTATTTATACACACACCTGTGGCAACCTCTAAACATAAATGACATGGCCTAGTTGACTACAAATTGCCACACTAGCCAGTTCCCACAACAAAACCTTGTTGTGTGTGAGCAGGCTTAGATTAATCCATATAACATACACCCCTTTATCCCACACAGGCTATTATATTGCCTGGTATGGATCTTGATAGATGAGTAGTAGAGATCCCCATTTGAGCCTTACATATCTAGCACATGAAATTAAATAGCTAACTTATATACATGGCAAAATAAATATAACAATATTAGTAGGAGAACCCTTCTGAGCAGATATTTAGATCAAGGATACAGATCCACAGATATTGTCCCACAGCCTACAACTTCCAACTTGGAAGCACCAGAGGTCCTGTCTGCCTGCTGATGATCCTGGCATAGTCAGGGGGGTAGCCGAGTTATCACGGGCACACTGGGTGCTCCAGAATAGAAGGCTAACAGATTCGGCCATATTACATTCACCGGGTGGCAGTTGCAACTCCTGCAGCAGGATCTCCATGTCAACCAAGTCCTGAACAAGAAAAGGGACTTTGGAGGTGAACTGCCAATGGTATTAAAGCTTGTAGCAGCCGGGTGAGTAGATGTAAGGCTCTCCGGTAGGCCAGTGTGGCTGGTGACAGATTCGGCAACAGTTGTAGGGCGGTCCCCTGATGTGTAACTTGAGCGGATTCATGAGCTCATATTAGGATGACCTCCTTAAACTGGAAATTTCCCAGACAGCAGATAACATCCCGGGGTGGACCCTCTGTTTGGCCTTTAGGGCGTAGCGCATGATGTGCTCAGACAAATTCAATCAGGTCCATGTGCGGTTATTAAAGATGGGGGTCAATATGACTTTTAATTGTGCTAATGTTTATTATCCTCTGGTAGGCCTTGCACCCTTGTATTTTGCCTTTCGCCCTAGTTGTCCAAATCTTCCATGTGATGTGTTAAGACCTGCAGTGGTTATGGTACTGCGGTCTTCTATTCCTTTCCCAATAGCTGAGCATAAGTGATTATAACTGCAGTTAGGAGGTAGAGGAATAGTGTAGATGAATGCAGCTTCCAAGACGATTCTCCCCAGCAAGTAGAATATTTCCCAGGCATCAGCCTAGACTTCATGAAAGGTGTAACAGGAATGATTTTATTGAGGCCACACTGGCTTTTATGAGAATCCTCCTGCAAGAGGACCTCCCACAGTAAACAACGACAATAACCAATCAGCATACAGATTTACAGTAACACCCTCCCTCTCCCTGCCTGGGAGATATTGAGATAAGTTAAGGACCAACCTAATTATCTCCAGGCAGAGAGCACACAATTTTCCAGAAAATTAAAACACCCCTTTATACAACAGGTATCCCCACAAACATATCCCTTGATAGCCCAGATCTGGGGGACCAACATGTTCAAATTTCACCCAGATCGGTTCAGGGGTTCCCAAAAAGTATGGAAGTCAAAAGTTACCGACCACACACGAGGCTCCTGCCCAAAACAATTCCACGAATTCAGCGTGTGCGGTCTGTCAATTCAGTAAATGGTATAAAAATGAATAAAGTCCCGAATGGATCCTCCTGGCTCATAGGAGTGATTGCTCCCCTTGTTCGAATGAACCAAACTACCAAATAACGCTCTCCTGGCTATTCGGCAACTAAAGGAAGCAGGCTTTTGTATGTTTCAGTGGTGGTTCGGGAGGTCGAGTGTCTGATTTTAGTTCCAGAAACTCGATGACCAAGTCCCGCTGCCTCCTTTCGTGCAAACAAGATGGCATTCGGCTATACGAACGGCGGCCGCCCAGAGAGCGCTTAATAGACGGTTCTTTTTGAAGTTAATGAGCCAGGAGGGTGGTCGGTGTTCGGTAGTTTTAAAATGCCGAACCAATAAATCTAAAATGAACAAAAGGTTGCAGAAAAGCACGAACACAGAAAAAAATGCAGAAACGCAGTCTATTTTCTTCACACCATGTTTCCCAGATGTAGGGTTTGGTGCATTGGTGTCTCTGTTGTGGCCATGTATTTGGTTGCAGTCTGCCTTGTGATGTGCTTCTTTAGCATATAGACCCTGTATCTCCATCTGGAGTGCATGGAGCTCTGAAGTGATTGAGGTCCTAAGCTCTGTGTTAGCCTCCTTTAGATCTATTTTAGTTGGGATGCTCTGCAGCAGGGAGACCCAATACAGGTGCCCAGAGGGGGTAGACTGTCTCATGCCTACCCTGCCAGAATGAAGTAAAAAAGGGTGGGAAAATGCTCTGATGCCCATGATCTGTTTGAGGCATTAGATGTCAGATCTGCCGGGTGAAAAGGAATTGCCGCATCAAGGGTATATGAGGCCTTCTACAATCTGGATACCCAATTAGACTTCCCCATTTCGTGTCTTAGCAGTATGTTAGATGGGATTTGTCACGGTACCGTCAATGAGCTTGAGATTTTAAGCTGCCATGTTTATCGGCCACCAAGCCACACCCCCACCAATATTCTATATTCTTTACATTAAGAAAGGTTTTGGCTGCGCATTACAGAGTGTTAAAAGAAGAAGGACTCTTTTGAGGCCCTGTACTGCCGTGCCGAAACTCTCCTGTAAATGCCATCAGAATTGTGCATACCCTTGGATCTTGCACATTGTCATCCTCTGCTGTTGGAGGATGAATACTTGTGAGAACTTTCCATACTAAATATACATTGTTTTTGCCTGAAACAACGATCTTGCTTTTTGAATAATGAATAATGTAATAATATCAATGTTTTTGTATAGACATGTGAAGCCCATTTTTCTTTTCTTTTTTGCTTTTTGTTTTCATTATTTTTTTAGAATAGTTTTTTTTTCGTACACAATACCAGTGTTGTGCATAATATGTTTTGAAGAGTCCCATTTTAGTAGACTTTAGTCTAGTACACAAGGAGAACTAATATAATGAAATAATTTATTTGGCTACATACTGCTGTGCTTAAAAAGAAATTGTGCTTGGCAAGTTTTCATCCACCTGTAGTGTGGTATTACCACAATATATAACGGTTATTGGCTAGTTCCAGGATAGGGTTCATAGAGTTTTTTTAATATTTTTTGTTGTCTGATATTATTTTATTTCACTACGGGTGATTCTCAGTAGTATCAGTATGTGCATTCTTTTCTGTGTTTTTATTTTTTCTCTTTGGTAATAATAAACCAAACACTCTACTGGTTAGAGTGTACAGATTTCCATTAATAGAATTGTAGCGTTGACTTTTAAATAGGTTTTTCTCCAAATCTATACATGTGCTAGCAAAACTGTGCAGATGGAATATCAAATTCTTTTAAAAGAGCTAAATATGAATTTTCTTCTATGCTCCCTTTAAGATGGAGGCGCCCAGTTGCAGGATAAACAGGTGTGGATTTCTATATTTAATTTTATTCTGCACACCTCAAAAGTACATATTTTGCTAAATATAGATATAAGTCAACAGAATATTATAAATAGGGGAAGTTACATTTCCTCATTCTGATTATAGCTACAAAAGTAAATATAACTGAGATCCAGGTTACTGCAGTCCATGAAAAAACCTTAATAATAAAAATGACTTAAGAATGTGCTACAAAAACCTCCCACTGTAGCCCCAACAGTGTACATCAGTAACAGTGAAAAAATGAGGTCTGTGCCAACAGCTGCTTTGTATACAAAGGGAGATGAGGCAACAGGTTTTAGAAAGGGTGAGCTTGTTAACCCATGGGTGTTGTAGTAGGGAAGAGATTCTCATACTGGACACAGGTTCCCCTTATGGTCTTAATGAGGAGCTTGAGTGGCACTGGTTCCTTTAGGTGCACTGGCATATACCAACTGGAAGGTGAGTTTGCCGGCTTGGTATGTATTCTGGCATATTTGATTTTCTTTCTTGTTTTGCCTTTGTCTCACTGTTCTCCTTAGACATATGTCCCCTGGGACAGTTTATTTCCTTGCTAGGTTTGACCCCATACCAACAGGTTAGGCATTCTGTATACCTGGCTAGGTAGCATAACAGAATATGTAATTTATGTAATTTTCTTTTGTATTTTGTGTTTATTTAGATTTGTGTCTTTTTTTTTTTATTCTTTGTATATATTCCCCACATTTATTAAGTTTTATATTGGTTTCCTTTGTTTTGTTTTAGATGGTAGTGTGTGTAGCGGAGCTCTCTGTACCCCGGCTGGGTACCTCTGCCAAGGACCGCTTCCTAGCTGGAAAAGGGGACAAACCGCAGCACTTCTGCCCACAGTCGCCGCGGCTTGACTGGGACCCTGGAACCGCTCCTTCCTGGAGCCGAATGGGGAATTAGCTCTAGTCCTTACAAGGACTTTCTCCGTTGAATCCCCTGCAAGCTGGAACAGCAGACACAGGAGTAAATCTTCTTTCCCTTCAATAACAGGACGACACACAGTTTTGGCGTGTAAGCTGGAATTGCTTTTAATAGTACCACACTTGGCCTTTTATGCAAGTTTCCCAAGCAAGGGGTACACCCACATGGACCTTGATGGGAACAGGGACACAAACTTACAAACCAATAATAACACATTTACAATGTAAGGCACTCCCACACACAGCACACAATCCCTCCCCTCTGCTTGGGAGATAATTGGATCAGCAACTATACTAGTTCTAATCCAATTATCCCCAAGCACAGAAAAAACATACATTTCTAAAAAGTACCAAAAGTACCCCAAAACACATGATATCACCACATAGCCTTGATCTGGTTGACCAACATATCCAAAAATCACCCAGATCTGTTCAGGGGTTCAGGAATTTCCTAGAAGTCATAATTGTGATCGACTGTGCACATGGTCCTATGCCCAAAAAGTTCCATGAAATCAGTGCTAATGGTCGGTCAAGTTTGGTAGTCTTTTACAGGTTTCCCTGCAGGGCCCATAGTCTGTGGGCAGGAGGCTGGCAAGCAGGCTCCTCCAGGAGCTTGTGGCAAACTCACTTGGAGAGGAGAGTTTGTCACAGTGTGCTTCCAGTATAGTAGAGTTCCTTTCTTGCTTTGAATGACTAGGGTGGTAGTTTAAATTTTAGGCTATTTTCATGCCTTCTAAAAATAGTTGTTTTACCTTTGTATGTAATTATTAATGCCTCCCATACCCTGTTATAATGTTTACTCTATAAAATGAGCATTTGTTTACTCGTTTCTTTGCAACCAAATGATAACATTGGACGCAATGTGCGTGACATATAAAGACATGAAGCATCACATGACATTATATAATGCTGGTTGAGTGTTTACATATGCTTAAGGACATTTGCATTGATAAAGGGCGCAAGCCCCAAACATTTGCTAATTTTTCATCTCCTTCAATAAATGTTGATAGCACTTTTTGTGTGCACAAAGCAGCTGTTGGCGCAGACCTGTGAATCTTAAGACTTTTATTTTTTTTCTCCTGTGAGGGCTGGAAGTAAATTGTAAGTGAAAGGACTGGAGTGCAGAAAACTGAAATTTTACAAGTGAATCTGCCTTTCTCTCTTTCTTGGGAGGATACCGCTTATTATAGGAGACGTGCGATGCTGCCCTGAAAGCATAACTGCAATCTTTACGGGACCAATTTTTAAAGGCTCCACCACATGTGAGTGATCTGACTACTTAGGGGTTACACTCTGCAATTGCAATTCCCATCTGCACTATATATTGTGTTTTTTCTGTGTTTGATATATCCCCTGGAATATCTGTTTATTTGCGTGGGTTCAGTTAACCCCATTCAGTACTGCACTTTAGCGCTCCAAGGTAGGTGTATGTTTTTTCTTATACCACCAGAAGGTATATGCTTGTTATGGTGTGTGGGAAAGAGAGTATACCACACTTGTAGAACTTCTATATATTTTTTCCACAAGAAGCACATTTTGAGGATACACCTCCTTCTCATATAGGAGGTTATTTTTGGATAAATGTATCCCCCTCCATCATGAAGTGACAATAAGTAACACAGGCGTTCAGATATCGATGATTAATAACTGGATGATAATCCACAGTCTCTTTCTTCTTCAATAGCCCCTTTGATCTGCAGTGTCTGAATCTCTTCGCATTAAGTTGTTTTTAGAGCATGTTCACTCATAGCAGTGGTGGTACCTGGTGTTGAAACAGTGGTGAGAGGAACTCTCTGACGTAATGGCCACCATCTGGAGGACCCAAGAATCCGTGAAAATTGTAGACCAATTCTGAAAAGAGAGAGAGAGACAGATTGTTAGAGTAGAGAAAGAAGGATTTGCTACAGTTGTACTCAACTGTGGGAGAATTACCCCAACCATGTCCATGGGAGCCATGCCCCCTGTTGGCACCCCGGTGAGACCTGAAGGAAGTGCGACTCATGGGGTCTTGGTATACTGGATAGAAACCTTGAGACTGTATTTTCCTAGAGTGCCATAATAGGCTGGAGACACAGCCCTGCTGTTGTCCAGCTTATTGAAAAACACCTCTGGGGAGAGAGGGGTTAAATGACTTTTGGGGTGTTGTCTGTGCCTTATTCAGGGTTGAGATATTTGCAATTATTTCAAGAATGGTTCTCCAAAGAACATCCCCTGTGTCTATTGGCCAAACTCGTTCCTGCTGAGTTCCATCAGTTTCAAGATCATCAATAAAATCACCTTGTGTCTCTATGAGAGCAATGCCACATTTGTATTGCCCATTAAACGCCCTGTACATTGTGCCCACTCCTGCATCATGTGAGGATCAAGAGCCGATTAAGGTAATCAGCCATAAAAACAAACTGGGACACAGGACCCAAAGTGTCCAGCATTTTGTTTTGGGCACTTTTTATACACTTCTCCAAGTCTTTCCGAAGGTCACTGCCCAAGTGTGCCATAAAAGTAACCAAGGCTTGGTAACAATGACCTTGCAGATAAAGTTTGCAAACACCACAGAATGTGGACATTCGGATCGTAAATGGTTCCTGACTTCTTTGTCGAGTCCACAGCCAGATGAACTTAGTGATATGTGCAAGAGGACGCCATTTCATGGAACTGGGATGTTGAACATTATGCGGGTCAAACATGGCTGCATCCATGGCATCAATAATTATCTCACAGTCCGTAGACTCAACAGGAGTAGGGGCAAATGCACTGAGCTCACCCGCAAAAGACTCTTTAACATAAGGTGAGTCTGAAGACAGGTCATTCATCCAATTTTTCCCTTCCAATTCTGACTTGTCCACTTGCCATTCATCCATCACAGAGTGGGGGCAAAATTATGATTATCATCATCTGATGACCTTCTGTCCACCCTTGAAACCTGCGGGGGGTATCTTACTCCACTTAGTGGGAGTTTTATCTTTATTGTTAGAGGGTTTAGATGATCTACCTTTACAGTTCTCTTTTGAGGGACTGATGGATGAACTTCAGAGTTCGTGGACTCCTCTGAATGACCTCTTTCAGGGAGATTCGGCTGTTGAAACCCTGCTGGGTTGAGGAAGACCCTGGCCAGGGCCTTTATATTTAAGGAGGCAGAGTGAGTGCTTCAACAAATCTCACATATAGGCACACATACAAGCACAGAGAAAGTTTCAAGCAAATAACACCGTACAGGTACAGTGAGTACCAATCAGGCACGCCACCCATAGAAACACACACGACATGAGTCTCTGCTGTAAAAAGTCCTGGAGTAGCAGGTGCTGACTTACTCTCTGTATTCAGATTCTCCCTCGCATCTTGGGAGGGTAGAGCCATAGGACTTATTGCGTGACTCTCCAAGAAGATTCACACTATCAATCGGCCGTCCACCGCTTTATAATAAGAAAGCAGAAGATTGCCAATCACAGGACAGGGTAATGTAATACCACAAGAGGAAAAGAAGAAATGTGAAAAAATAAAGGGACCTAGAGGAGTGGAAACAAATCACTATCTGCAACAGACAGAATCAAAAGTAAATAAATATATAAAAATCAAAGCAGGCTGCAAATGAAAGGAAGAACATTATCTATCCTGAACTGGAGATAGGAGCAGCAATGAAAGAGGAAGTGATAATTTGGTTTCACTTTTTTGATGTTATTTTTCTCTGATTGGTTTACTTTACTGTTGTTTTGCTGCTGTGAAGGTGCAGAGAGAATGCAAAATATGAAGCCACCTGTCATGTGATAAATTTATGTATCAAACACATCGTACAATAAGTGTATTTTAATGAGGCTACACCAATCATAACATTACCTTTTCAGTTACTGATTAATACGAAAATGTTTTACTGTACGATTAATGCATCAGACTATCCTTGAGGGTATACATCAAGTTAGGCAGAAGGTTACACATTGGCAGATGGGAAGCGTCCCATATTATTCCTGTTTAATTCCCTGTAACACAGAAACACACAGGGAGCTGAGACTACATTTAATCAGTCTTCATTCATTACGCAGATACATTGTGATCCACGTTTAAATTCTACTTCTAGCTCCCAGATGCCAAACACTGCAGGTGACAGATGGGACATCCTTGGATAGGAGAGAAAACATTTTACTTTGGCATTTCAGCCTTTTGATTAATGAAATGTTCTCACCTCTCCTTTCTTTTCCACATAACTGAATCACGCAGAGACACATACTCGAACAGTTGATATGCACATGTAATGCACTACGTTTGTGCTGTCTGTTATCCCACTTAACATGCCATTAAAATGAACTCCACACTAATGTAATGGAATAACGAGGGTACAAAGGGTACGTACAATTATTCTCAATTCAACAGTGCAGATTTGATTCAATTTGTCTCCTGAGGTTTTTTTTTTGGGGGGGGGTTGTTTTTTTTTTTTAAACTGCCTCTATGCCAATGTTTTTCTCTTTGGCAGATGAAGAAAAAGGTTTAATTAACTAAACATGTTAAGACTAATTGGAAAACAAATTGTTCAATTTCAGGCCAAAATATATGTGATTTGGACAATTGTGAACTAGTGTACAATATTTGTAGCCATTCATACTCTGTATTTAAAGGGACAATAAATGCACCCACTATATCTCAGTGAAGTTGTCTGGATGCTGAAATATGAAAGATGCAGAGTAGCTTTAAATGCCTCTAGTGGCTGTCACTCATTGAGATAGCAGAATAAAATGCTGCTATTTATTTCATTGCTCTCAAAGAGACCATCTGATTGGCACAGTGTGGTGTTTTACTGTGCATTCGGACTCGCCCCCAAATACTTTTTGTTGGAAAGTTTTGGATTGGCGGAGATCGGCACTGCAGGTGGAGGCCAGGGATCTAAATGTAATTAGCATTTCTTTTGTCCACATTTACAGCACACAGTGTGCACTATCTATCTATCTATCTATCTATATATATATATATATATATATATATATATATTGTAACAAACCACCTCTTTTACAGGTAGGATTTTGTCACAGATCTTATGGTAACCATAGCCTTCTAGGGTAATGAAAGTCCAGGACACATCCAGCTCAGTTTTTCTGATTTTATTTGGTGCAAAATATACAGGTGCCAAAATAAAATAAACAAAACAAAATTCCTTGCTCTTGTTTGAGCACTTACTAATCACTAACTGGAATTGGGTGGCTTTCCCACTTACCAATAGCAAACTATGGCTCTTTCTCAGTAGGCTGATCCCTTCTTTTAAAAGCCTGCCTGCTAATTGACCAGCTACAGGTGAGTATCAATTAGTTCTTATCTCTGGAACTCCTAAGGTATATACACACAAGATCTGGTCTGGCTGATACATATCAACTAGTGCTATTGGAGCACTGGCCCACCCTGCTCTCCAAGTGCTCCGCCCCAGGGACCCTTACCATGGTTTGCAGAGTACCAACAATGTATCTTGCAAACCTAACATCTCTCCCTGGGACATTTAATTGAGAAACCTCAGGCTGCCGTTTAGTAAATCAGGCCTAACGTATCTTCCCTCAACAACCATTCCACATTTTCTCTCACAATATATATATGTTATCCTTCATTTTTCATATGTGATCAACATTTGGAGACACTGTACAAACTACCATATCTTGAGGCAAGGAGTTTACTGCTAAACATTGACAAAGTTTTGAGTGTATTTTTATCCCTATTTAATTTGCTTGCTCTTTGTCAGAAATACTACACTATTGGAGTATTTTCTGTTTCTTGTTCTTGTTGTTTCATATTGTACTAGACCCATTAAAGAAATCAGTGACTCCTATATCCATTAGCGGGGATTTTTACGCTGGATGCTATATTTAGTAGAGATTTTATGAAACTATTTAATGTGAGTGGTAATTTCTTCTCATTAATTATTCATACTTGATTCTTAACAGATCAATGTAGCGGAGATGCAATATTACCCAGGTTATCTCCGCTTATAATCCAAGTGAGACTCAGGAACAAGTAAATAGTAAATCCAAAGGCAGGGTTTCCAGCAGGTAAAATACAGCAATATCCCAACAGCAATCCCAATAACTGGACGACACACAGTTTCAGGAGCATAACTGACAAGCCTTTAATCACAGTCTCCTTATAAAGCATGCTCCCATGCAAGGGAGGGATTTACAGTAATTATTACAGTAGCCAATCCTGTCCTGGTAACCTCCCACACATCCCCTCCCCTCAGCCAGCATCATAATCCCCTTAGCCAGCACACCAATTCCCCCCATTTCTGGATGTACCCCTAAACGTAGGGGTACCCCTTTAAATCATACATCCCCGGGTAGCCCTGATCTGGGTGAACAACATATCCAAAAATCACCCAGATCGGACCAGGGGTTCGGGAAAAGTATGGAGGGAATAAAATGACCGACCGCACGAACTGAGATAGCCGAATTCGGTTCCATGTGAATGGGCCTTGCGGTCGGTCCTGGCATAAGGGAATAAAATACACGAAAGCCTCTAGCTATAGAGGCTAGGGAGGGTTCGCCTGAATCCCCTCGTTCGGTATTCTCTATCTACCGAACGAGGGGCCGTTCGGTAGTTTGGAACCGAACGGACCAGGGCTGTGGAGGTCTCAGCGGTGTTCGCCTACTCGAGTGTCCGATTTTAGTTCCAGACACTCGACGGCAAAACACCGCTGTTCGGGAGTTTTAAAATGGCCGCCGCCACGTGTTCGTTTGTCGAATGGCGGCCACCCCCGAGAACAAAGGACGGCTACTTACTGTTCAATTACCCGTTCGCAACAATGTTGCAACGGGTAATTGAGGACACACTTCACACAGGGAGGTCTGGTTGTTCGGTAGTTTCATTCGAATAAACTAAGGGAATGAAACTACCGAACAATCAGAGGAATACAATTCTTTTTCAATACACAGAAAATACAGCAGATACACGGATGCAGCTTTATACAGTATTTTTGTATGGTCGCCTGGTGCCATCCGCTACACTGCTCCCCCTTGCCCACAAGCCGGCATACACAGTCTGATCCAACACGGATCGGCTTGGGGATGTCCGGGGAGGCTCACGGATCATTTCTCTAGGTCAGTTTGTCGAGACAACCCATCAGCATTTCCATTCTGTTTACCCGGGCGGTACTGGATATTAAAGTCAAAGGGCTGCAGCGCCAGACTCCAGCGCAGCAGCCGGGCATTGTCCCCAGCCACCCGGTTTAGCCATACTAACGGGTTGTGATCCGTGAGCAGGGAAAAAGCTTGTCCGTACAAATAGGGCTGTAATTTCTTCAGGGCCCACACCACAGCCAGGCATTCTTTCTCGATGGCGGCGTAGCTTACTTCTCGAGGTAACAGTTTCCGGCTGATGTAAGCCACGGGATGTTCTCCGCCATCGGCCCCGACTTGGCTTAATACTGCTCCCAATCCAAACATAGAAGCGTCTGTGTGGACAAGAAAACGTTTAGTTGGATTGGGAGCTGCCAAGACAGGGGCATTTGTCAATGCATCTTTTAACAACTGAAATGCCTGTTCACACTCCGGGGTCCAGGTTACTTGGCGGGGTAGGTTTTTACGGGTCAAGTCGGTGAGAGGTTTGGCCAGGGCACTGTAATTCGGGACAAATTTCCGGTAGTATCCGGCCGTTCCTAAGAACGCTAACACCTGGGTCTTAGTCCTAGGGGTGGGCCATTGAGCTACAGCCTCTACTTTGGCTGGTTCCGGCTTTTGCTTGCCGCATCCTACCCGATGACCTAGGTACTGTACTTCAGCCATTCCTATGCTGCATTTGGCTGGTTTCAGCGTTAAACCAGCGGCCCTAATCCTGTCTAGGACCGCTCCTATATGGGTCAGGTGTTCCTGCCAGGTATTGCTGAAAATGGCAATAT